GCAAAATATGATATGTGTGCACTGTACAACAACACTCCTTTGGACTATCCGGACATACATCACGCGCATATATATACATATAATATATATATAAGTATAATATATATATTTACGTTCACACGCGTACGAATGTGGGACAAGTGGTAATTTCGATCGTCGTTAATGCCGTTGTAAAAGACCAATCCCATTGTCTCTTTCTTCGAAGACGTTATGATTTCGCGACAGTCAAATATGTGCCACCCGACCTCTAATTATTATGCCTCTATATTATAATTATATTATCGTGTGTTTGAAGATTTCGTACGACGACGACGACGACGACGACGACGACGACGACGACCGAAACACCTCCTCGAAATCCTATCAATGCTGCACGTGTGCCTACAATAATAATAATAATAATAACTCTGTGGACACGAATAAATAGTTTCTCCGTACACCCCCCGTCTATCAGTGGATCCGGTAGTACAGTTTAAAAAACTGGTCAAAAACTCGAAACGAAATTCGAAAAAAAAATCTTAAGACGCCGCCCAATGCTCGAGAAATGCACGAATCCCATTATCCGGTCATTATTTTTTATACTCACAATTATTATTATAACATAACGTATAATACATTATACCCGCGCGCTTACTTATATATACCAGATATACTGCATCGCATCGTACCACCGAGGTGCAACAAGGTCAAGGTTGTCCGTAAATATCACGTAATCTCGGCGGACAGCCGCGAGTGTAGTTCGGGTTTTATAATATGCTATATAAATGACGATAATGTTACACGTGTTAGGGGGGACCGATTAGATTGAACCAGGAGAAAACTGTAAGGTGGCGTCTCAAGGATCACTGGTGTGCTTTTCTCCGTCCTTCGCGAGTTTCTCTCACGGGACATCCGTAATAATATATATAATACCTAGTCCTACCGAATAATATAATATGATATTGTTTTATATACGGCACAGTAATATTCTCGTCGATAATGTAGTACTACGATACTCATATCGATTGATGAGGTAAAGTACATTTTCCACGCTCCATTTATATATATATAGATTTTATTTGAGTTGGGACACCTACCTTGCACGACGGTGGTGTCTTATGATGTAAGTGTAGGTACAAATGTGTACCAAATACTCGATTCGATCGAACCAGGAGAAAACTGTACAGTAGAGTTTCAAGGATCACTGGTGTGCTTTTCTCCGTCCTTCGAGAATTTCTCTAGCGGGACATCCGTAATAATATATATAATACCTATAGTCCTACCATATAGTATATATTGTTTTATATACGGCACAGTAATATTCTCATCGATAATGTCGTACTACAATACTCGCGTCAAAACTCATCGTCTCAATAAAAATTATTATATATTTTACTTCCATTGAAACACAGGCCTCACACGATGGTAGTGTCTTATGATGTACCAAAATGCGTAGGAAAAAATGTTTACCAAATACTCGATTTGATCGAACCAGGATAAAACTGTACTGTGGAATTTCAAGGATTACTTGCGTGCTTTTTCCTTCCTCCTCGAGTTCTTCTCGGATAGTATTTAAGTTCTAACTCTTGCTGGTGTCCTACCATGTCCTATTAATTATTATATATTTTATACAACGCAGACGTAATTTTAATATTTCCATCAATAATATGTCGTACGATTGCCTCGTTAATCGTCTGATTTATAATATTATATATTTTATTAGCATTGTCGTCACCGGCCGCCACGACGATAGTTAGATAGGTTATAGGTACCTATATTCGTTGTAGTGAAATATTACTAGAAATATCCCAATACTGAGGTGAAACACTAAAACCTCGTATCGTAGAGCAAGAAAAATAATAACAATGATGGCATAGGCGTGCGCAGCCTCCGGTTTCAGGGGCAGCAAGAGATTAATTCGGCCCATTTTTCAAATTCACCATTAAAACCTGCCCATAGTTTTACTTTTTTAACTATTGGATATAAAAATTAAAATTGTATTGGTTATTTGTTTTTTTGGATAAAAGGTTATACAGTAAGGTACTAAGCCACTAATAGTGTACTTTTCTACAAGCATATATATAAAATATTTATCTATAGTTTATCAAAACAAAAAAAATCCTTTGTGGAAATATTATTTTACCGAGGCTCATTATTTAATATTTGCCGGCCCCGGTTTGCTGCCCCCGTGGGCACGCCTATGAATGATGGCATGAAAACCAAAATAGTTCTTACAGATAGTGTCGCATGATGTGTGCGTACAAACTCGCATACCCATATACTTGAATCGATCGTGCCAGTAGAAAAATGTACAGTTTCAAGGATTACTCGCGTGCTTTTCTCTGTTCTCCGCAAGTTCTCCTGCAGGATTTCCGTAATATATGCCTAGGTTTTTAACTATATATATTTTATACGGTGCATACGTAATTTTAATATTCCCATCGATAATGCGTCGTACGATTGTGTCGTCAGTCGTCACTAGTTTGATTTATAATATTATATTTTGTTGCCTACACCGTCCGTTCATGACGATTAAATGCGATAGTGTCTCAGAGTACAAATCCGTATGCCTATAATATACCACTTGTAAGAGTCGTCTGTGTGGTTGTTTTGTTATAGTGTATGCCTATACGTGTACGATTTCTCGAGTTTTCGTCACATGTACATTATAATAATATATCGTTTATAATCATATATACGTTCCAGATACGATAGGGTCTACGTATTATAATTAGTATATACTATATATACGAATGTGTCAGTTGTTTTAAATTCAGATCCGGCGCTATAGCCCACGTGTGTGTATTACAATGTAAAATCGCTTGCCCGGATTCCCCCTGACCGTGTTATATAAATCTCTTCATGATTCCAGTCATGATTCATTAATATTGAACGAGGCGTTTTAAATTTTCTTTCCAACCATCGTATACATCAGCCCATATACATGTATATACATTATACATATATATATTCAATTCTCAAGACTTTCCCTACTCGATATAATAATATAATTGTTTTGTTTAGACGACAGTATAAGAAACATATATATATGTTGACACACTCTGAGTTTATTCTAATAATTCATGATGGATAATGCGTCAGACGGGTATTGATGAATAAGCTGATGATGAATTTAATAATTGTAAAGAGGCTAGAGGCCAAGAAGATCAAATACGATATTCTATACGAGGTCGATTTCCATGACACCTTCCTGACATATGTCAATTTGGCTTTCAATTGATATAAATACATAATCAATTTTAGGTATTGTATTCGTAGATACTGCTTTCGAATGTATAGGTTAGGTACCTTTAGTTAAAATGTTTTTTTAAGTTCTTCAGTTTCATATAAGAAGTACAATAATATTACGTTAATTATATATTTATGCAAAGATTTTGTCGAATTTTCGTATCACCCTATAATCGGTAGTTAAATGCAGATGAGCTGAGTTCTTTATTATTTAAATATAAATTAAAAGAAAAAAGAAAAAATATTTGAATTTTTTAGATACGAAGCACAACGTGATGGAAAAAATAACTTACTTCTAAGATAGAATATATATAATTATTCTTATACTCATAAAATGTAACGAAAAAATACAACTTTATATTATATTTACGCATCGAAAAAAAGATAATATTAGAAATTAGACTTATATTTCCAAAATTGGTGTGATTATATATTTGTATCTAATATAGAAAAGCATTCTATAAAAATGACATACATTTTTGTATATAATATTATACACAGCATTTTAGTCATGTTTTCATTTTATTTGAGTTATTATAAAAGCTTAAATTGAACTCTACTTTAAAATTATTAAAACAATTTAAACTGTACACTGTACAGTGCACTTTCTTTCACTAAGATATTTCATGTAAACTATAGACAATGTAAAACGTAAAATTGTTATGCATATTTTTGATTTTACATAATATTAAATGTTGTGTTTCTTATAATATTATACTGATATAATATGCTGTTAATATTAAACTACTTAAAAACAAAATCTTACTGAATCAAATTTAAAAAATTATAATTATATTAACAACGAAATAGTATTTTACAATGTCATTGTACATAATGGCTTTCTTCATTAAATATTTTCGTTATGTCGCATTAGATAAAATATTTTAAATCAACTTTCTAACCTTTTTTTCTATTAAGTAAACACTTTATACCAAAAGCGCGCACCTCAAATCCGTTACTTTGTATAGTAAAAAAAAAAAAAACAATTAAAAACATTAATTAACTTGTACAAGCCCAAAGCTCTTGTCGCGCACATGTCTCTAACGATATTGAAATTAATATTATGTGTGGCGTTAATATTACGTATCTTTAGCGACGAACGTCGACGAAGACGGTATAATAATATTACATCAGCATCATAGCCGGCACGTGCGGATACGAGACCATTCACCGCAGTTGACCCGGAGATTAGGGAAAAAAATCGTTTCCCGAAACGCCGTGACCGCGCGTGTGTGTAGTCGTTCACCTCCAAAAAAACTTGGAAAAAAAGAAGTTTCCACGTGTAAGTGTAAAAAAAAAAAAAAAAACAATTTCAAAATTCTTCCTTCTCTCTAAGCGGTGAGGCGGGGAGGAGGAGAGGGGCAACCCGACCACCCGGCCGGACGTAGGTGCAGGGCGGTATACCGCGGTCGCGTATTCGCTTTCTACCGGGGCGAGGTCCTCCACCTCTGCCTCTAACTCGTCGACAGCGTCATAATAATAATAATAATAATAATAATATCGTTGTCGTCGCGGTGGCGACTAGCGCTCGCGCGCGCGCTCTAACTCGAGCGTCTGGTGGGGAGGACCCGGGCCGATAACGGGGAGATATATAGGGACGGCCGTACGCATTTCGCCCCATTATCGCACCGACTGTTCGTCCGTCCGCATTCAAGTCACCGAAAACGAAATAGTACGTTTATCGCATATAGTCATCGTGTAACGCATACATCCGCCGTTTCCGTTTCGTATCTTTTCCATATCGCTAACAAACGATAATAACATTTTATAAAATGCGTTTCGCAAGTTGCGCCGTGTTGGCCTTGTTGCCGTTCTGCTTGCACGCCGCCGTCGTCGTGTCCGGCGATAGCGACAACTACCTGCAGCAAGAACAAAAGCCTGTGGAGTCAACCGGAAACGGAAACTGGGCGATGGTCACCAGGATGGCCGACGAGTGTGCCAAGGATGCGGATACAGCAGCTTGCGTGGCCGTCAAAGCAGCAGCTGCCCTGGAAAGAGCTGCCCGAGCCACCGGTCCCGTGCAAGTGTTGCCTGGTCTTACCGTAATGAAGAACACCGATGAAGGATCTTCGTCGCAGAGGGATTCACGCGCCCTGCCCACCGAGGACGAGCTCCGCGGACAGTTGCAACAGCAGCCGTCGAAGGTCACCGACATGGTCGTCAACTCAGCCATCAGATTCCTCCAGTCCAGGACCCTGCAGCTCAAGTTCCCGCAAACCAACCCCGAAGAGCTGTCCCGGGCTATTGAAGAAGGCAAGTACCAATATTATTGTGTATTATACTCGTATTATTACCATTTATCATCGTGGTAGTATAGTAAATATTTCGTAGTTGTTTCGGTTTCGCTATCCCGCCAGGGCGTTTAAGTCTCCTTTGTTTTAATCTTTATCGTGTTCACCGCAGGTCGTGGCAAACTCAAGAAGAAGATGATGCCCATCCTTGGATTCCTGGCCGTCAAAATCGTTGCCGTGTTGCCAATTCTTTTGGGAATCATTGGATTCTTCGCACTCAAGGCGTTGGTATTCGGCAAGTTGGCCCTGCTCATCGCCGGTGTGATGGCATTCCAGAAGTACGCTGGAGCATCCGGTGGCTTCGGCAAGATCGCAGACACATGGAGTGCCGGTAACGTTCAGGCCGCCCCATGGTCCGCACCCGCCGCCCCCAGCACCAACGGTGGTGGTTACTACAGACGTAGCATGGAGGCCCAACAGATGGCGTACAACGGACAAGTACAACCGTCCGCCCAGACTGTCGCGTAATACTATTTACTACCCCGTATAAACATGTAACATCATTTTAGCGTCACCACAAATCGCAATCTCTAAACATTTTTTGCTCTCTCTCAATCGGACCGATGAGTTTCAATATTATTTATGACGACTATACGCATAACTGTGTAAGCCCTTTTATTATTACTATTTTTTTTTTTTTTTTATACTGTTTTTGTAGTCTCGTACAACAGTTATTAGATTAAAATCGGACGGTGTGACATCTGCATGTTATAATTATAATATTATCATGCGAACGTCTCCATCGTCGGGAGTTGACATACACCGTGTACGCCGACTCACGACGTGGATGCGTTCGCCACACTCGGTATTAGATTATTGTTGCTCTCCGATAGCCGAGTAACTTTTTGCCATATTAGTCTTTAGTTTTCACGAAAAAAGACTTATAACCCAATATTATTACCACGAAAAAGGCATCTGACGAAAAGTTACCGGCTCGTGTTTGGCCAACGTGGCTGATTTTTTTCAAACACAAAAATAATTAGATTATTACCTGTAAACTCTAAGAGTTAATATTTAATAATATGATAAATTATTTTTTTTTTTTAAGTTTGAATAAGTCGTCGATTTATTAACATAATATTACTATAATAATATATAGAATTACGTTACATGCCAAAATTTAAACAAAAATGTGTCATTGTAAATATTAAATACACATTTAATGATAATAATAATATAATAATATAATATAAAATCAATTACTGAGTTAAAAAATGTGTATTTATAGTCCTTTGTTTTTCTGACGTATGCAGATGTGTACACCTACCTACGGTTATATTTGTTTTGTTGTTCCAAAAATTATATATATATAATAATAAAAACAATGGACCGAGGTGAGCGGTTGCAGGTTGGTCGCACATAAAAGCAGCACACACGTTTTGTATGTCATACGAGGTATGAATTTATTGTTTGATTTTGATAATTGACTTTGTATATAAGAAATATCTTAGAAGAGAAACGTGTTACTCGCTACGTTTCAATAGGAAGTCATGAAATTATTTTTATGGCTTCGGGTACAAATAGGTGTACCTGTGGCAAACGTAAATCCGTCGCTGTTGTGAATTTGACTTGTGCCTTAATACACATTATCATATCCTAATGTCAAGTAAGTAGAGTAACGCTCTTTGCATCGTTTTCTCACGTCGTGTCAAACTATTAGCATATACGGCTAATGGTTAAACGATATACCGTATTGTTCATAGGTATATAATATTATAATAATATGATTTACGACCTAGATGAACCGTTTACTCGACCATAATATTATGTTTCAACTCTGTCGTTCGCATCGAACTATATGGTAAGTTCTATTATATATTATGCACGTGGTCGCGCATTACGTAAATAGTTTAGCTGTGTAAGTATAACATTATAGAATGTCATTAAATAATAATAATAATTTATTACTATATAGACGTTTGGTTGGTTGTTACACATATGCCGTAAAATATGTATGTTGAAAATGTTTGAAAAATGGCACATAATAAACGAGCTAGTATTAATATGAAAATCGAACGGTTATTATTTTTTAAGCATAATTTTTGCAATCAAATTATATAAGTATTATTGGTTGTTTTAAATAATATGTTGATAGGTGTGACGGCGGTTAAATAGGTTAAACAATATTTACCATAGGGAAATTACTCATCGAATTCCTATTATTACTATCTGCAATTGAGTGGCAGAGGAGTAAAAAAAATATATTCCGATTAGTCACAATAATAACTATAAAAACTGTTTTACCTAATTAAAAAAGTTAAAAGAAATCGAGTATTCTTAGTGAAAAAAATATATCCATCAAAGTTGAGTTTAATAAAAGTGAATATATTACCTACCTATAATTATTATATATTATATTATGATTTATTGGTATTTAATAGTATTAATCTTCCTTTTTTTATGTGTTTTTCCGCCACACTCTTATCTCGCAATGTTCATCATTCATCACTCATCGTATCTTCCACTATATAAATTCATTCTTAGACCAAACTTGGCCCCTCGTCTAGTATAAAAAACAAACAGTTAGCTTGTAGATTTCATAAATTTCTTTCCCCTAAAAATCTGTTAATTTTCTCATTAGATGGCTATACAGTTATGCATATTTTATCGATCGCTACTTAAACATTTATTATAATACAATATAATATATTATATTGAATAACGGTACTGTAGAAACTATTTGTTTAAAATAAATATGATAATAATACCTTCAACAGTAAATAAATGTAAATGATAAGGATACCAACTAACAGATATTATAAAATTCACTTTCTCGTAGATCTTAGAACGAATGACTAATATAATATTTGACCAACTGTATATTGACTTCCGTTACCATTTCGTTGTTAAATACCTACTAAAAAATAAACACGTGCTAAAGTATTAATTTTACTGGAGGGATATAATTGTATACACAATTAACTCATTTAGTTTCTCTGAAATTTCAACGGATCATATAAATATCCTGCTACATAAATATATTATATACCTAATCAATATCTAGTAGAAAATGTGTCGACTAATTGAATTTCGTTCATTTTGCTTTGAAAATGTATTATCGTGCGTGACTTTTTCAATAAACTACGTCTATCGGTACACTACACTACATAAAAGGTTCACTGCATGGTATATAATTATTAACAAATTATTGTACGTTGAAAAAATTATGGGCGGAAATATTACATCTATAAAATGTGTAAACTATATATTGTGTTCAAAGACACTTTCTATGGAACACGACAAAATATTATTACGATTTCCTTTGAATAATTAACACGTTTTCATAAAACACGTAAATTTGACTTCCTCCTGCAGTACCGTGTAAAAATTTCAGTATTTTTTTTTAGACACAATATTATAATATAAAATGTAGTAATAATCTGTCTATGTAATCGAGGACTGAAAGTGGGATATTTCTAGAATACCATAAAAATTGCATTACTGAATCGTGGTATCTAGGTATCTATTTATTTCGGTATATACCCGTCATATCGTATGCAATGGTTTAAACTGTGTATAACAGATGATATCCGTGAAGTACCCTAACATTCATCGTACGAACAAAATTGAATATAATATAATATTATGATCAATGAAATCAGAATTATTTCTTTGTAGCTTTTAATTTTAAATATATGCACCTACTACATATGATGATGATTAAACTACTGATTTTTTCACATTGATGTTTTATTATTTATTTTACTACGCACTGAAATTAATATGTTAATGTATTGTTGTTTTTTATATTTCAACACAACCTTGGAAAATCTACTGTAAACCATACTGTACATTATAATATTATAATAATATATTAAATATTGATCTTCATCAAGTATCAACTATTACTAGTGTCATTACAGTGGCCAGTTATCATAAAAAAATATAGTTTATGGTATGTGGAAAATGTACTCCATAGAGACTTCCAAAATAATGTAACAATAACAATACGATTGTTCTATGAATTAAAATATAATATGGTAGTTGGTGCCGGGTAGTTATATATACAATATAACCTAATAGGTTATAAGTTTAATCACTTCTGTATTTTAAGTACAATACATTTATTGGATAATAGATCTACGTATAAATATATAATATAATATTAAAGCACATAAGTATAGTCGTGGTTTTTATATCGCCGTATCTACCATGAAAGTAAAAAGATCGATCACGTTACGATAATATAATATATTATTTTGTATTATTATTATCGTTTTATTATGATTTAATTAATTTGGTTAAAAATAAAATTTAATTTTCGAACGTGTGAACACACTTCTGCCGTGTATATCATACAAAAATACAATAAAAAATAAGCACAAGCCTTTTAAACATCAATAAATTGGTTTCATTAATACTCGAACTAGAAGAACTCGAAATCTGCAGCCCGCGTCATAACACTAGATATTGTGACGACCATTCAGTTTCACCTTCGTTTATCGATAAAAGGAAGCCGACACGACGTAACGCCATGATATATCGTGTATAGTATTATAATATATTGTTTTTGATCGATTGGTTTTCCGTCGTCGTCCATCGATGGTATAGTGCAATACCGTTGTTTGATAACAGTGACTCGGTGACTTCAACGCCCCACCACTCGTCGACGCATCGCGACGTTGTTTTACGCATATTTATGTGCCGGCAGTGCAACACTGCTAGCAGCCTGGTTCTATAGATATATTATATAGAAAGCCGCTGAGTGTGACTGGTGAAAAATTACATATTCCTTGTTTGGAAAAACCTAATTTCTTTGTCGCTCATCGCCACTTTTGTCCCGGCTCTCGTTCTTATTATTATTTTGTGTTTCCTTTTCACCGCGACTCTTTTGAATATAAAAAAAAAATACATTAGTGGTTAATTGAGGTGAACAAGCGCCCCAAGGCAGCACCAGTGTTTCCTCGAATGCGCGCGCGAGCGCTACCGTTTGGTAATAATTATTATCCTGTGTACCTATGTATACATACTATATACACAGGTGTTGAGTAAAATCGATTGATTTCTAAAATATAATGTGAATCTATATAAATCGACATAGGTTTATATATGACGTGTATACCTATATATATGCATGTATAATATATAAATGTAAATATATATACGCATTTATAGTGTATGCACGATGCATCGATTTAACAACGACCACATCATCCATTGTGGGTCCTGGATGTGAATCTTTTAAACGATAATAACGATTGTGCCCCGTCATATTATAGGGCAGAGTTATACCACTTTACAACTATATAATAATATATAATAATGTAATAATACTACAACTATTGCTCCGGAATGCTAACTTCACACACATCTGTGGGGCCCTCTCCGAATAAATAAGAAGAACAACAACATTAACTGAGACGAAAAATGTTGTTCTGTGTACTGTTAAACCACTGAATTCATAATATCATCAAAATTTTTTCTATAGGACGAAGGATATCGTGTACGATTTGAGTCCGTTTATATTT